CACCCTACTTGGGGAGAACAGCTCTCTCCTTCCTCCCAGGGGAGGCCGCAGCAGCCTCCTAGAGCTCTGGGGGCAGTTTGGTGTCAAGCCCGGGCCACCCCGCAATGGCTCTAATCCAGCCAGCATTGCCCCAAAACACTGCCTAGACCAACCTCCTCCAGCCCCTCAGCGCGGGCCGGAGGAGTCGTCCCAGATTGGCTCTAGCTTCTAGGATCCTGTATGCCGGGCTTTGCCGCTTGAGCCGGGCTCCTTTCCCCTCTCTGCCTGGCCCTCGCTGACCTGCTGTCATGGCCAGAGGAGACCAGTGTGGTCAGCCAGTCTGACTTCCCGTATGACACGGGCCAGAGATCTGCCCCACACTAATGTCTGGAGCAGAGCTTTTCGAAAAACAGCCAGTCTTGATTTAAAAATCACCAGTGATGGAGAATCCACTTTGCCCCTTGGTAAATTGTTCCCAGGGTTAATTACTCTCTCTGTTAAAGTATTCCTTGTTTCCAGTCTGAATTTGTCTAGTTTCAACTTTCAGCCATTGGCTCATGTTAGAGCTTTCTCTGCTAGATTGCAGAACCCATTACTAAATATTTATTCCCCATGTAGGTACTTTAATCAAGTCATCTCTTAACTTTCTCTTTAAGCTAAATAGATTGAGCTCCTTGACTATCAGTATAAGGCATCCTAATTCTGTAATCATTCCTGTGTCTCTTCTCTGAATCCCCTCCAATTTATCAACATCCTTTTTGAATTGTGAGCACCAGAACTGGACACAGGATTCCAGCAGCAGTCACACCAGTGCCAAATAGAGGTAAAATAACCTCTCTGCCATTTATGCATCCCAGAATTGTGTTAGACCTTTTGGCCACAGTATCACTCAGAGAGCTCATGTTCAGCTGATTAGCTACCACAACCCCCAAATCTTTTTCAGAGTCACTGCTTCCCAGGATAGTCTCTCCCATCCTGTAAGTACAGCCTGCATTCTTTGTTCCCAAATGTGTGCATTTAGCCATATGAAAACACATATTGTTTGTGGCATCCAGTTTACCAAGAGGTCTAGATTGCTCTGCATGAATGACCTGTCCTCTTCATTATTTACTGCTCCCTTAATTTTTGTGTCATCTGCAAATTTTTATTAGTGTCACTAATAAACACGTTAAATAGCACAGGGCCAAGAACCAATCCCTGCAGGGCCCCTCTGGAAACACACTCCGTTAGTGACTATTCCTCCTTTACAGTTACATTTTGGGATCTATCAGTTAGCCAGTTTTTAATACGTTTAATGTGTGCCAGGTTAATTTTATGTAATTCTAGTTTTTGAATCTAAATGTTGTGTGGTACCAACTCAAACACCTTACAGCAGTCTAAGTATATTACTTCAACACTATTACATTTATCAACCAAACTTGTAATCTCATCAAAAAAAAATATATCAAGTTAGTAGGACAGGATCTCTTTTTCCATAGAATTGCATTAATTATATTACCCTCTTTCAGTTCATTATTGATTGAGTCCTATATCAGTTGCTCCATTATCTTGCCTGGGATCAATATAGGTCCATCAGCCTGACAGTTACCTGGGTCATCCTGTTTACCCTTTTTTAAAGTTGGCACATTAGCTTTCTTCTGGAACTTCCCAGTGTGCCAAGACTTATTTAAAAAAAAAAAAAAAAATCAACATGAATGATCCAGTGAGCTCCTAGGCCAGCTCTTTTAAAACTCTTTGATGCCCATTCTCTGGACCAGCTGATTTAAAAGTGCCTTGTTTTAGAGCTTCTTTTTAATATCCTCCAGAGATACTTGCAGAAAGGAAAGCGTGTGATCACCGTATGATGAGACTGCATAATCTCCCCCCCGCCCATATAGAACAGAAATATATATTGAACACTTCTGCCTTTTTTGCATTAATATTGATAATTCTACCATTTCCATCTAGTAATAGACCAATACCATTGTCAGGATTCTTTTTGTTCCTAATATATTTTTAAAACTCCTTATTGTTCTTAACTCTGCTGGCCATAGATTTTTCCTTGTGTTCTTGGACTTCCTGTATCAATTTTCTACAATTTCTCACTTCTGATTTATATTCATTACTATCAACTTCCCCCTTCTTCCCTTTGTTATATGTTACAGCTGCCTTCACTTCCCCTCTAAACCTGGTTGGGTTTTTTTAAACCAGCACAGCCTTCTTCCTCTAGTGTGGCTTTTGGGGCATCTAGTAAGGTGTTCTTAAATGATTCTCAATCATCATTCACACTTTTCAGGTTAAATTCTTCCTCACAGCTGATTTGGCCCATAATCATTTTCAGCTTTGTGAAATTGGCCTTGTAAAACACCAAGTATATCTATTACTGGTCTGGACTTTATTCTGTTTGTACATTATAAATGGGATCAAGTCATGATAATTTGTACCTAAGCTACCATTAACTTTTAGCTCTGCGATCAGTTCCCCTTTAGCTGTTAGGATAAGATATCATGTAGAATTACCCCATGTTGGCTGCAACAGCTCCTTTCCCTCCCTTTCAGGCCTCCTGGTGTGTCCTGCCTTCTCGAGTTCTCCTAGTCCTGACCTCTCAGAAAGGCATCCAGGTAAGAGTGCTTCCTTTTCTAGGCTCTGGGAAAGGAGTGGGTGGGGCCTGTGTTGGAGAGCTGTGTGTGAACAAGGCCAGCCTCCTGAACTGCAGGAAGGCCAATGGAGGCATGTCATAGGGCATGACTGCCCCATAGTACCCTCTGCTGGGGAAGTCTGGCTCTGCAGGCACTTCCTGCCTCAGTTTCCCTTCACCCAGGATTTCCTGTCTCTCCCAGGTTTCACATGGCTCAGGCCTCCAGCTGGGTCATTCTCACAGTGCAGTCCCCTTCCAGGGTAATAAAAGTCCCAAACAAATTTTTTTTCCCACCCCACTTGGGCCCCTCTTCAGCCCAGCCTCCAGCCTCAGTTCCCTGTCCCTTCTGAGTTTCTCTAATCTCTCTGTTCTGAGATGGAGCACTGCTTCCCTGCACTCCTTCCTCGGGAACACAGCTTGCACTTGCCTGTCAATCGGCTATTAAACTGTGTTCTCGCTGCCCTTTCATAAGGCTCAGGTGTTTCAGGCTGTCAGCCCGAGCAGTCCAGCCATCTTAGGCTGGGAGACAAGTCATTATGGCCCCGGCCCGGTGTGCTGGAGCTATGGGTGTGGCCCCTGGCTGGAAGCGATAATAGCAACCAAACGCCTAGCTCCCATCACGTATGGGGTTATAGTGTTGTTTGATGGCTTTCAGCACTGCCCCTGTAAAAACTGTTCCCATGCCCTGCACAGATGCGGCTGGTTGAACAGGGCTGGCTAGCCCCAGGCCTCTTGGCCCATCTTGGCAGCTACCTGTTACAAGGTGCCTTCTGGAGGTCCTTGTGTCCGGGACTTTGAGGGCCCCAGGTCACAGGGGTGCCTCCCCCCTCTCTGGAAATCTTTGTGGGGGCAGCACTCAGGGTTTCTCCTGATGGCTTCAGGCTCATCGACCCCACCCAGAAGTGACTCTGCAACGAGCTGACCAGGTGTTTTCACTCCCCAGATGTACGAGTCAGACGGCTCCATCATGGTTTATTGGCATGCCCTGGATGTCTTGGAACCACCGCCAGGTAAAGAGAGATCCCAGCTGGGGGCCGTGCTGCAGCGGGAGCCTAGGGAGGAGGGCTCTGCACAGCCAACAACTGCCCTAGAAGGGCAGGCTGAACCATGGGCATGGATTTTGTGTGGCACACTTTGGCTCCCTCCACCCCAGGAGCCAATAGCCTGTAGGGGGCTCTGGCCCAGGGAGCCAGCAGAATGGAGGATGTTGGTTTTATTTAGGAATTAATTCCAGGATGTCTATTGCCCATTGTGATGGTGCTGCCTGTGGGAGCCAGCTGAGGTCACTCAATCAGGGTGAACTGCAAACAAAACGGGGCAGACAAACCCCAAACGCGGGTGGATATTCCAATATTTAGATTTACCAACCAGCACAAAACCGCTTCTATAGTACCTCACTGGTTACTCAGAAGTCCAAACAACGCAGTTCCCTTAAAGTACCCAGCCTCAGGCCTCCGTCCAGACACACCTGTCAAACATATGATGAAGATTACTGAAAATCTTATCTCATCATAGAAAAGAAAAGGTTCTTCCAATCCTAAAGGATCAGCCACATACCCAGGTTCAATTACAACTTAGATCTTACCCAAAATGCACACTATAGTCAATTCTTATTAACTAAACTAAAATTTGTTAAAAAAGAAAAGAGTGAGTGTTGGTTAAATGATCAATATACAGACTGACTTGAATTCAATTCTTGAGATCCAGATACATAGCAGAGGTGAGCTTGTAGTTGCCAAAAGTCCTTTAGAACATAAGAACGGCCGTACTGGGTCAGACCAAAGGTCTATCTAGCCCAGTATCCTGTCTACTGACAGTGGCCAATGCCAGGTGCCCCAGAGGGAGTGAACCTAACAGGTAATGATCAAGTGATCTCTCTCCTGCCATCCATCTCCACCCTCTGACAAACAGAGGCTAGGGACACCATTCCTTACCCATCCTGGCTAATAGCCATTAATGGACTTAACCTCCATGAATTTATCCAGTTCTCTTTTAAACGCTGTTATAGTCCTAGCCTTCACAACCTCCTCAGGTAAGGAGTTCCACAAGTTGACGAAGAAGAAGAACTTCCTTTTATTTGTTTTAAACCTGCTGCCTATTAATTTCATTTGGTGACCCCTAGTTCTTGTATTATGGGAATAAGTAAATAACTTTTCCTTATCTACTTTCTCCACATCACTCATAATTTTATATACCTTTATCATATCCCCCCTTAGTCTCCTCTTTTCCAAGCTGAAGAGTCCTAGCCTCTTTAATCTCTCCTCATATGGGACCCTCTCCAAACCCCTAATCATTTTAGTTGCCCTTCTCTGAACCTTTTCTAGTGCCAGTATATCTTTTTTGAGATGAGGAGACCACATCTATACGGAGTATTCAAGATGTGGGCATACCATTGATTTATATAAGGGCAATAATATATTCTCCGTCTTATTCTCTATCCCCTTTTTAATGATTCCTAACATCCTGTTTGCTTTTTTGACCGCCTCTGCACACTGCGTGGACATCTTCAGAGAACTATCCACGATGACTCCAAGATCTTTTTCCTGATTCGTTGTAGCTAAATTAGCCATCATATTGTGTGTATAGTTGGGGTTATTTTTTCCAATGTGCATTACTTTACATTTATCCACATTAAATTTCATTTGCCGTTTTGTTGCCCAATCACTTAGTTTTGTGAGATCTTTTTGAAGTTCTTCACAGTCTGCTTTGGTCTTAACTATCTTGAGCAGTTTAGTATCATCTGCAAACTTTGCCACCTCACTTTTTACCCCTTTCTCCAGATCATTTATGAATAAGTTGAATAGGATTGGTCCTAGGACTGACCCTTGTGGAACACCACTAGTTACCCCTCTCCATTCTGAGAATTTACCATTAATTCCTAACCTTTGTTCCCGGTCTTTTAACCAGTTCTCAATCCATGAAAGGACCTTCCCTTTTATCCCATGACAACTTAATTTACCTAAGAGCCTTTGGTGAAGGACCTTGTCAAAGGCTTTCTGGAAATCTAAGTACACTATGTCCACTGGCTCCCCCTTGTCCACATGTTTGTTGACCCCTTCAAAGAACTCTAATAGATTAGTAAGACACGATTTCCCTTCAGAGAAACCATGTTGACTTTTGCCCAACAATTTATATTCTTCTATGTGTCTGACAATTTTATTCTTTACTATTGTTTCAACTAATTTGCCCAGTACAGACGTTAGACTTACCGGTCTGTAATTGCCGGGATCACCTCTAGAGCCCTTTTTAAATATTGGCGTTACATTAGCTATCTTCCAGTCGTTGGGTACAGAAGCCGATTTAAAGGACATGTTACAAACCCTAGTTAATAGTTCCGCAATTTCACATTTGAGTTCTTTCAGAACTCTTGGGTGAATGCCATCTGGCCCCGGTGACTTGTTAATGTTAAGTTTATCTATTAATTCCAAAACCTCCTCTAATGACACTTCAATCTGTGACAGTTCCTCAGATTTGTCACCTACAAAAACCGGCTCCATGGGTTATAGTCCAATGTCCATATTCAGGGTGGCTCCAGTCAATGACTGGGGATCTCAATCCTTGTGGCTTAAGGTTTCCCCCTCTTGAAACCCAAAGCAGATCTGAGATGAAGTAGGATCATGTCCCAAGGTTCTTATACATTTCCAGCAGCCTTTCGGCCTGAGAAAACAATAGGCCTAACTCTCCTTCTTCCAAACATTCTGGCAATTAGCACAGGGTAATTTATCCATTAAACAGTTCAGCTACAGGTTACCACAACCTTCAAAGAGACATATAGACAATAATACTATTTTCCCTCAAGTATCATCATAAATGTTAATATTCCTTTTTTGATCTTTGAATTAAAACTATCGCAATAGACAAGCCGTGTTTGCTTACATCACAAGCCCTGAGCAAACCTCTACCCTTTTACCTCTAACAATGCAGACTTGCATTTCAAAGCTCTATTCATTTACCTGTCTTACTAGCCAGTCTCTAAAGTTCACCCATAGGTCAGGTCAGTCTGTGAGTTAATTAACTCTTTCTGGCCCTGTCACCTTCCTATGAAATATTATATTACACTCATAACGTCACACCCATGTCGTGCAGGAGGTCAGACAAGGTGACCCCAATGTTCCCTTCTGGCTAGACAATCTGTAGTTTCTCAGTGATCTGGCCTTAAATCAGGGTGTCTGGGTCCCTCACACCTTGTGGCCCTGACTTTCAAAGTGTCCCCTTGTGGCCTGGGGTCTCCATCGAGCTCTGGGGTAGGAGCTGCTGCAGGGGTGTAATGGGCCGTCCGTTTCCTTCCAGCCCAGGCAGTGTTTGCTCGAGGGATCGCTGCTGCCAGTGGGCGCTTCATCTGTGTGGGTGAGTGGGGTAGGGAAACGGGAGGCTGGGGGATGGAGTGAGGGGGAGATTAGTCTATGTACAGGTGCAGCAACTGGGAACCTGATCTTCTGCATGGTAGGGCTGAGGCCATGGGGAGGAGAGGTCTGGGATAGCGGGGAAGCAGAGGGCCTGCATACAGCAGCTGGGTGATGGGGCTGGGCGGTGGATGTGCTGCACTAGGCACATTTGGGCCCAGGAGGATGGGAGTGGAGTGTGCGGATAACAGGAAGAAGGGTCTAGTCAGACTCCTGGAGCTGGAGGAGTTATTGAGGTGAGGGCTGGGGAGAGAGTGAGGACTGGTTTGGGGTGGGGGGCGTAGAGACTGGTTCCCAGAGGTGGGAAGACCAGGAGGCTGATTCCTAGTGCAGAGTGGGGCGGGGTCCGGTACTGGCTGCCAGTGGCATCTCCCTCGCTTGTCCACAGGGACTTCTTCGGGACTGGTGCTGGTGTTTGACATCCCTAGCAAGGGAACAAACATCACGCTGAGCGAGGTCCTGCAGGAGCATCGCGACTCCATCACTGACATCGCCTCGGAGGTCGGTGAGAACTCGGTATGGAGCCCCCGGCACTGCACACAGCTCCTATCCCAGCCTTACAGCCGGGTTGCCAAATGCCCGAGCAGCCAGTTGGGCCCGTCCTTCCTTGGGAACTGGAAACCAGTCTGTCAGCCCTTCCTCTTTCCCATGCGCTTCCCAGTGCGGGAGACTCAGAGCTGAGGCCCCACCTGCGCTGCCTGGACACTAATGATGCCAGAGCCCTTCCTGGGAGAGCCCAGACCAAAACCTTTCGTGCCGAGGCTTTCCAGCGGCCAGGGTGGTCCTTACTGTGCACCAGAGGTCAGTAGAGACGCCTCACCCCTACCCAGACCCAGCCATCGCAAAGACAGGGCTCACTGACCCCTCCCAGGACTGGTACAGTCCCTGCAGGATGGGTACAGTCGGTGGCTCAAACCCTACTCTCTCTTCTCCTATGCCTCTCTAGCCCATGTGGAGCAGAGGCCCTTCACCACAGCTGTCCTTCCTTGCCAGTCTCCTGCCACAGCCTTAGCTTTTTATCAATTCTGCTTCTGTTATCCTTGGGCTACCTCGTTGCCTTTTGCCCTAGGGGCTCCAGTTCAGTGCCTCTCTTGTTACATTGTGCAGGTCTTTGCTCCATGAGTGTCCGAGCCAACTCCATTTTTGTTCCATAGTTTCCTGTCCTATTCGTTTTTGTTTCGTCCTCCTCCAGAGTTCTTCGTTCGTGATTTTTTTCTGGCTATCTGATATAGAGGGTTTGTCTAAGGCAACTGAGAACTTGGAGTTTAGATAGTAAGGTCTTAATAAGTCTCCAGGTTTCAGTGCTATATTTACAATGATGTTAAATATTCAAAGTTTAGTTTGGAGGCAAGATTTCTATTTCTCCAGATCGGCCTTAGAGATACAAAGGCCCATCTGGCTCTTGCTATTCTGGCTGTAATGTCTTTGTCTGCTCCACCTGTTTTACTTACAGTGCTGCCAAGATACATGAAATATCAGACTTCTTCCATGTCAGACCCAGAAAGTGGTATCGGTGTTTCTTGTTGTGTGTTGATTCTCATAGTTTGAGTTTTCTCAGTGTTGATTTTCAACCCTCCTAATTGTGCATAGGCCTAGAGATGATTGGTTTTAGCTTGCACGTCTCTATGGGTGCGGGATAGCAAGTTGATTTCATCTGCAAGATCAAGGTCCTCTAACTTCTGTGTGAAAGTCCATTGTCTCCCCCTTGGTTGTTCTGTGGTCTCTCATTACCCAATCCACTACCAGTAAAAAGATCACTGAGACACAAAGCATCCTTGTCTGATGCCCGTAGTAACCTTGGTTTAGTCAGTTCACTGTCATGTATTGCCTGGCAGGTGATGTTTTCATAGAAGCTCTGAATGATGTTCACAAATTTCAGAGGCTTTCCATAGTGGCGTAGCAGCTTCCATAAACCTGTCTTCTCCGCTGTACCAAAGGCTTTTTGGAAATCCCCACAATTCATATGAAGTGGTTCTCTTCTGGCTCTGTCACCACAAGGACTCCTGGTTCTTTTTGCTGATACAGACTAGCACGGCTACCACTCTGAAAATAGCAACTGACCAGCTCAAGACAATGAGGACATCTTAACAATAAAGACCTTGGAACAATTAAATCGATGGAGGCAGCACTTTAGTCAGCTACTTTGCCTAAGCCCAGTGAAATAGAAACTAATGGAGATATCTTATCTCCTAGAGCTGGAAGGGACCTTGAAAGGCCATCAAGTCCAGCCCCCTGCCTTCACTAGCAGGACCAAGTACTGATTTTGCCCCAGATCCCTAAGTGCCCCCCTCAAGGATTGAACTCACAACCCTGGGTTTAGCAGGCCAATGCTCAAACCACTGAGCTATCCCTCCTTCCCCCCTGTGCCAGAACCATCTCTCGGCCAGCTGTGGGCTACGAAAGCCTCCCTGGACTCAAGGCCATTTATTAGCGGGGTCTGACTGTATCCACTTCCTTAGTATCAGGGGGTAGCTGTGTTAGTCTGTATCCACAAAAACAACAAGGAGTCCGGTGGCACTTTAAAGACTAACCGATTTCTTTGGGCATAAGCTTTCGTGGGTAAAAAACCCACTTCTTCAGATGCATGGAGTGAAAGTTACAGATGCACTCCCTTAGTGTCTCTGCCTCACCATCCTTACCCAGAGCTCCTCGCCCCACCTCCCACGTTCCCACTGGGGCCGTTGTTCATCCAGAGGCGGTGGCCAGTAAAACCCTTTGGGATGAAAGCGCAAGAGACAGGTCAAATCCAGTCACCTGGCATGTGGGTGTCCCTGTGCTGCATAACACATGCTCACGCTCCTAAAGCCCAGGCCCTGCCCGCTGGAACCAAAGGAGAGTCTCCATCCGCTGTTCACAGGACAGGGGAGGTGCCACACAGCTAACAGTTCTCAGTCCGCCCACTAGAGGCCAGTGACGTGCACCAGCTCATTAGTTATTCGGAGAAGGATGGGTCAGTGTCAGTTTCCTGGGAGCTCATTGGCTGAGGGGGGTAGATTATAAAGCAACTTTCCTGCACTTCTGCGAAAGAGCGCTTTGGTGACTGGCTACTCTGTAGTATCCTTACTAATGGCTGACTTCCCCGTGCTCTGATTGGCTGAGAGGGGTCCCATGGCATGGCACTGACTGTTGCTCCTCCCATTGCAGGATGGGGCTGCTGACCTGGTGACTGCGGATGACTCTGGGGCCCTGTGTGTCTGGAGATCCAAGGACGAGTTCTCCCTGCTCACCAAAATCTCTGCCTTTGGGTAAGGGGGGTGGGGGGCTCCCACAGCTCCTTGGGGCAGTGAGATGAGCCCAGAGACCTCCCCCTGGGCCTTGCTAGAGGGGGCCCCAGGCGAGGGGGGAGGAGTATCTGCAGGCAGAGAGGTCACTCTGATGCAGTGTGGACAGTGTGTTGGGGGGAAGGGGGAAGCCCATAACTCCCCCGCCCCGGTGGCGCCAGTGGGGCTGACATGTCTCCTTTGTGCCCAGGTGGACCTGCTCCTCGGTGAAGCTGTGGAACGGGGTCATTGCTGCTGGCTATGGGAATGGGCAGATCCGGCTGTACGAGGCCACGAGCGGGGCCCTGCGTGCCACAGTCAGCGCCCACGCTCGCTGGATCTACGCCCTGGACGTGGCCCCCCTGACGGGGAAGGTAAACCTGTCCCAGGCCTCCCGGCAGTCCGCCTGCCAGCCTTCTGGACACAGCTTGGCTGAGCTCCTCAGCTGCCTGCCTCAATCCTTCACTGAGGCTGGGAAGAGCTGCAGCTCCCACACTAGCCAGGAGGGGGCGCACACATACCATTGCATTCTGCCCCCCTCTGCCCCAGGCAGTGCTGCTGTCCTGCCCAGGGAGAGAGGCCCGAGCCCCAGAGCCAGTGTGCCAAGGAGTAGAACTGCCTCAGTCGCTGCATGCAGCAGGCTTCGGCAGCATCTGGTGGCACCTGTGCTGAGCGGCTCTGCTCGCTGCAGTGAGCACTGGGCCCGAGCTCAGAGGCTGGCAGAGCCCCCCCTGCCACCCCAGGAGAATGCAGCCCCCTCACCGCCTCTGTTCTGCCTCCCACTGCAGCTGCTGTCGGGTGCCGAGGATTCCTATGTTCAGATCTGGAAACTCAGCCGGAGCCCAGACACCGGCGACATCGAGGTGAGGGGCCAGTGCTGTGATGGCCACACGCCCCTGCAGAGAACCATGGGGCTAATGGTCTGAGCATGGGGCTGGGAGCCAGGAGCTCCTCAGTTCCCGTCCTGGCTCTGCCACTGACTCTCAGTGCAGCCGTCAGCCAGTCACTGCTCCTTTGTGCCTCAGTTTCCCCCCGTGACATTCCACCACTGCCACAAGGGGCTGTGAGGCTGAGCTGGGGACTAGGTGCTCTAGTTGCACAACAAGGCCCAGAGGGCCCTGGGGCAAGAATAGGTGAGGGGCCTGGGCCCTCTTCCTGATTCTAAAAGCTACCCCCCTCCACCTCCCCCACAGCCCCAGTCCAGCTCACCGCTGCCCCTGCCTATTTCCCTCAATCCATGCACCCCTCTAGGGCCTTTTAGCTCCCCTCCTGCCTCCCACTGTCCTGATCCACCCCCCCTAGCCCTGGTTCAGAGTTCCCCACGCGGTCTCCTCCAGCTCTGCACCAACCCCTGCCCATTCCCCCATCCTCCCAGCTCTGATCCAACCCCCCAAGCTGCCCTCCAATCCCCATCCCCCACCCTCAACAGCTCCACCCAGTTTTGATCTAGCTACCCCTCCCCCAACCGTCCCAAATTCCCCACACTTCCATGCCGCACGCAAAACAGCCAATGGTTTTACCTTGCCCTCTGTCTTGGGGGGGCTGTCTGACCCCCCTCTAGACTCCCCCACTCCCCTGCATGTCCCCCAACACTACAATTCCCCACACCTCTGCATGTCTTTGCCAGTTGCTGGTGCCAGAGGGGCCCCCATATCCCAGCCACCCTCCTGCCCCAGGGGGCCAGCTTGTCCTACTCTCCCGGCAGCCCCTCAGACGGGCCCTGGCGTGACCACACCCCTTGCACTATTCCAGTTACTCCACTGAGGTGCTTCCTCTTCCCTCCACAGGCCCTGCCCTGCTACCCCCACCCCCAGCCTGCGCCTCTGTCAGCTCCCCTGAGCTGCTCTGTCTGCCCCACATCCTCCTCCCCACTGAAATCCCTCTGAGCCGGCTGGCTGGCAGCCTGGGGAGGGCATGCTGTGCCTCCATTTCCCTCAGCGCTGCCCCAAGCCTGGGGCTGGTGTTGCAGCGAGGGAGGGGCTGGATGCTGGGGAGGGGAGAGAGACCCCGAGCGTGGTTCTTGTATCCCTGTGACATTCCAGCCCCCAACGTTCAGATGAAACACTGTGTCCCCTTGCTGCAGCCTGCAGGGGGTGCCTGCACTTGAGTCCATGCCCGTGGGGGATTCGCTGCGGGGAAGCCTGTCTAGCCCTGGGGCCCAGCTGGGCTGCGTAGTCCAAGCGCGCTCTCTCCTGCCCCCTGCAGATCGAGCACTGCTACTCGGAGTGCGTGACTGACACCCAGCTCTGCGGCGCCCGCTTCTGTGACCCTGAGGGAAACTCCTTCGCTGCAACCGGCTACGACCTCAGCGAGATCGTCCGCTATGGCCAGGTCTAGGCTGCCCCGCTGCAGGGGGGCTTTGAGCATAGGATGTGGAGGTACCTGCAGGCACTGTGCTGCTGCAGCATGTTCCAGCCCCCCTGCTAATGGGCCACTGCAGCTGTGACTCAGGGACTCTGTGCAGACCCCTGGCTCCCGTTGCACAGGGGCTGGGGCAGCTGCATGCAGCTGAGGATGCCCCTCACCTAGGTGGAGATCAGACACGTGGGAGAGTAGGATCAGACAGGTGGGGGGACATGCACAAAGAAGGGGGGGCCCAGATCTCTTCAAACTTCAGAGTCCCTCTGGCCAGACGCCTGCCCACACCCCATGGCTGCTCATCTCCCCCCTCTCCTGCCTCCATGACCTTTCTTCCCTGTGGGCAGGCAGCTGCCGTGTCCTGCCTGCCACAGCTCTGTCGTGCTGGGCCCCTTGCCCAAGGCCTCTGCAGGCTGTGATTCCCCTCTGCTCCTGTATGGAGACCAGAGCCTGGAGAGGTGCAGAGCCGGGCCCCCGGGCAGGCCCTGAGTTGGGGGGTAGGGACAGTAGCTGAGGAGGTGCAG